AAAAAAAAACTGCTTTTCAGATGTAACTGTCTGTTTGTGGTTTTAGTAAATAAAAAATTTAATTATTATTATTTTTTTTTTATAAATAGACATATTTTTTATTGAATTGTCATAATTAAAAAATAGTATTAATATAACTATGATACTTGATAGAAAATACTTTATTCACAAACTATAATAAATTGTTCAGATGGAACAATTGCACCAGTTTTGCTATGGAGTTATCGGATAGTTCGACTTATGGAGTCATCCACACTTATTTTGACAATTGAACAACTATAGCTCATCACAGGTGAGAGAGAGATGAGACTAATTCTTTCCTACTACATAAACGACTAAGTTAATTATAAGATTTAATACTTCGGTTACTTTAAGTCTTTAACTAACATTTTATATAAATTGATTATGTACGAACACAATACACACTCATTGATAGGGAATATAGTTGCACATAGACCTTTACAAATCTAATCGGCCGTGATAGAGCGAGAACTCGGCAGAATGGGCCAAGATCGATCCTACGTGTAATCCTAATCCTAAGATATCCGTACGGTGGATAAACGCCGATATATATAGTGAAAGCATTAACTGCGAAAGGTAAGACACATTTAACACACAGTACAATCGATTTATCCTCATCACCAAATTCTAACTTAAGCATCGAAGGTTTTTGCGCCAGAGGAACTCTGACGCTCTTTTGCAGGTATTTCGCTTAACTCTCAATCCAGTTGGAGACCGAAGAAGAAGGGCTCTATCCTCGAACCTGAAGATCATTTCAGGATCATAGTCATCTACAATGGACCTTATCACTCATAAACACGCATTAAATGTCTAGCCGAAATTATAGAGATTATTATAGGTTTGAATTCAAGATTATGCAGTGATTAGATATGAATCCAATCGGATATGACCCAGCTTTGTTGATTAAATAAGTTATGAAGAAAGTTGATTGAGTTGATGATTTTGAATTTTTTATTAAATAATATTTAAAAGGTAACAGATCTGATGTAAAAATATGAGATAGATTAATATAAAAATGATAGATAATTATAATTATGTGAGTTGATGAATAGTGAATTGAAGTTGGTGCAATGTGTGTGAATGATTGATTGATATTACTTAATTATATTTATAGAAAGTATAAGAGTAAGATTGATCAGTCGAATTACAAGTGTAGTGATTGGAATCAAAACAACTTGATCCGTCATAATCGAATAAAACCGATTATAATCTATAGTCAGTTACGCCCGTAATGGCTCAACTCATTCATATATACTCATTTCATTTTTATGTAATGATATATTTATATTAATTAATTAGTGAAATCATACAACTTTAGCAAAGAATAACAAAAAGAAAACATAAAAAACATGTTAATTGCATTGGTAGTTCAACAAATATACAATCAACGTCCTATGGACACTCACTAATATACTTAGATATCAAAGTCTTAGGAGAGACACGATCCAAAACCGTAGTAAGGTTGTCAACCAGTGGCTTATCTTTGACTGTTTCTTTCATATTATTCAAATGATTTATAATTAATAGTAAATAAATAGTAAATAAAATTTTGGCAAAGTCAAAAAATAGCTACATGACTCATGATTGGCACAACACCAATCATTATTTGAAAATTTTTAAATTTTGAATGCAAATAGAAAAAAAAAAGTCAAAACATAAAATAACACAACTTGTAAAATTTTATAGGGAGATGATACAGATCCGTTACGGAACCATTTCGTCGGGATTTGTAACTGTTAAATCAACTAACTCTGATTGTTACATGATGTTCTAACAGTTACAAACTCCAACGAAATAATTTTGTAACGGGACCGCATCATTTCCCCGATTTTATATGGACTATCATGTAAATAGTGTTTTTCCATATGGTGTGGCCAAGGCAATAATAGTCGGACTCAGACGGGGTGATGCATGGTATTTATTAATGGCATATTCGTAGATATTTATAAAGAGTGAGGGGTTAGATGGTCAGAAAGACAACTGTCCCGCCAAGCATCCACCAATAGGAAAAATGCTGCTATTATTACAAAAGTCCATGCAATAACATTATCTTGTCTGTCCCCACATTGCGAATCCAACGGATAGTATAGTATTTAAGGAAAAACGAAAATGTAAATTATATTATAAAATACAACTCAGATTTCAATCTGTATGTGAAGTTACAGCTGGATGTACAGTTGACCTTATAATTATTTTTATCATTTTTCTTTTATTTTTGAAATCAAAATACTAACTTGAATTGAAATTATTAAAACACATACAAACAAAATAAAGTTGATTTAAAAAGGGCGTTACTATTTACCGCCCTCCTTATTACTAGTCACCGTCCCCCTTGGACGATTTTGCCCTTTTCATTTCTCACTTTCGCAAGATGTCCAGCAGCTCAGAGGTAAAAAGAAAAAATGTCCGGCCCAAATTTTCGCACGGAACCGGCGGTGTCCGGCCGACCGGACCGGACATTCCCAAAGCCGTCCGGCCGGTTCGACCGGACAGGACCCTGTCCGTGCGAAAATTATGGCCGTACGGACCGGTCGTTGTACTAACCGACCGGTCGTACGGCCGTATTGGTGTCCGGCCACGACGGCCGGTCTTGACCCAGTCCGGCCGGTCCGACCGGCCGGACACCATTTTTTTTTTAATTTTTTTTTTATTTTCTTTATTTATTTTATTATTAATTTTAAATGCTTTAAAATTA